CCTGGGTAAGGAGATGTCCGAGCCTTGTTGTGGGAATTCTCTTTGGAACCGTTAGAACCAGACATGGTGCCGGTACTAAGATGAAACCAACAGGACGAAAATGAGTTTCCGGCAAAGGAAAAGGAAAAAATTTTCACATAAGTAACAAAATATATTAAAGAACCAACCTCAAAGATCCAAAAACACACTTTCAATTTTGAAAACTTTTAAAAACCAGAGAATCCAACTTTGATGGGATATTAGTATAAAGGTGCAACATCTGTGAGAGATTGCTTTCAAATACAAAATTTTTAAAACATAGCTAAATCTTATTAATTAGCATCTACTCACTGAATGTATTTTAGAGTTGAAAAAAGGACACAATCTTACTTTTGTGTTATCTAATGTGAAAGGGGAAGTTTGTTATGGAAACTTAGCCATAAAAACAAATGTTAAAAAAGCTGTTTAAGTCTACATAAGCAAATAAGTTTTTAAAAAACTAATTGCAGTCTAATATACATGTGTAAAACATGGCAAAAATAGTACATGGGAAGAATGGGAAAACAGAAATTCAGTACAGCAAAGCTCTTATATTGAAGTAATGCAAAATTATTTAAAGGTACATCGTAATAAATATACAAATTATCAACTTTAGAGCAAAACTTATGTAAAATTAAGAGGCATAAAATAATTGCACAGCATATGAAAAAAAAACCTTCATCCTAATCTTACAGCATATACAAAAACTTTTCATGTCTCCTCTTGCCTAAATGGCTTCTCATTATTCTTAAAATGAAAATACAAATTCCTGATGACCCTTACTATAACATGTAAAGTAGGAAAGGAGATTCTGAAAATATGGTAAAGGATGACAGCCCCTTTCCCTTGCTCTCACAGTACCCATCAATTTGCCCTTCTTGAGACAAACAGTTGATGGGGCAAACACCACTGGGTGGAGGTGACAAGTTAGTAAGTCAGCATCGTGTGTCTCCCAATACCACACACGGGAATATGCACAAACATTTCTGAGGTATTCCTGCCAAGAATGTATGACTCTGGAAGAAAAAGTATCCAATGTACTCAGTACTATTATGAAACCAATTTATAATCACTCACACTTTCATGTGAAGATAGATCATAACTATGGCCCAAGAAGAAGGAGGGAGGAGGGGATGGGAGGGAAGGGGGGAAGTTAGATGGAGGGAGGGTGAATAGTGGGACCACACCTATGGTGCATATTGCAAGGGTACAGGTTGGATCTATCAAGTGTAGAGTATAAATGTCTTAACACAATAATTAAGTAAATGAGGTGAGAGATATATTAACTAGTGTGATGCAAGCATTCCAAGTTATATATGAAATCAGTACATTGTACCCTATAAATGCATTAATGTATGAACAATCTACGTGTTTATGATGTAATATACAACAGACCCAGATGTTAAGGGACATCTTACAGAATGAAGAGTCTGTACTCTCTAAATAGGCAGTCATGAAAGAGAAAGAAGGACTCTTTCAGAGAGACAAAGACTAAACACACGTTACAACTAAATGCAATCAACAATCCGAGATTGGCTCCTGAACCATAAAGGAAAGTCTGTTATTCATAAGCAGTATGCCTGAAATGGTAAATTTTCAGAATGGTACATTACAGAAGAAATGGCAAAGTTTGAATGCTAGAAGAAACATATTTATATTGTGTAAACGTATAAATAATTTAAACAGGTGATTTTTTCTTAAAAAAAAGTATCTATCTACTTTCAACAAAGAAAAGCCCAGGGCCTTACTGGTAAATGCTGACAAACATTTACAGAAAAGTTAACATTAATCCTCCTTAAACTCTTCCCAAAAAGTTGAAGAGGGAATCCTTCCAAAGTCATTCTGAGACTGGCATTATCCTGATATCAAAGCTAGACAAACATCCCTGATGACTATTAATGCAGAAATCGTCAACAAAATAATAACGAAGAGAATTCAACAGCTCATTAAAAGGATTATCGTGACCAAGTAAGGCTATCATGACCAAGTAAGACTTATTCTTGGAATGTAATGGTGATCCCACATACAAAAATCAATGTAATATATATCACATTAACAGAAAAAGGAAAAAAAATGACTAGCTCAATTGATGCAGAAAAATTATTTGGCAAAATTCAACACTCTTTCATGATAAAAATATTCAACAAACTAGAGACAGGCAGTACATAATAAAAGCCATATATGAAAAGCCTGGAGTGTGGTGGTGAAAGACTGCAAGTTTTTCCTCTAGGACCAGGAACAAAGTAAGGATGCCCACTGTCACCACTTTTATTCAATATAGTACCTAAAGTTCTAGCCAGAGCAATTAGGCAAGAAAAAGAATTACAAGGCATCCAAATTGGAAAGGAAGAAGTAAAATTGTCTGCCAGGTTGAACATCCCTAATTCAGAAATCTGAAATTTGAAACTTTTTGAACATCAACAAGTGGAAAATTTCATGCCTGACCTCATGTGATAGGTCACAGATAAAAGAAAAAAAAAATAACCACCCAGGAAATAAATACTGACTAGGATGTGGAGAGATTTACTTGCTAGTAAAAACAATGACATCAGCTCAATGCCCGTAGGTCAGTGGTTAGGGCCCCAGCCACATATACCCAGGCTGGCAGGTTCAAACCCAGCCCCAGCCTGCTAAACAATGAC